GAGCGTAATCCCGGTGTTAGTACACGACGGATATCCACGCCTTTAGTGATTCCCAATACCAGGGTATGGAGAACATTAAACAAGAATCTGTTGTATCCATACCATCTACAGCGTGTTCAACATCTGGAGCCAGAAGATTTCCCTAGGCGGGTAGAATTTTGTCAGTGGTTGAATAATAATAGGAATTTGTATCGCTACATCTTATTTACGGATGAGTCACAATTTACCAGAGACGGTATCAACAACACCCATAACATGCATCAATGGTCGGACGTCAACCCTCATGCCACCGTAGAAAGTAATTTTCAACGTAGATTTAGCGTTAATGTGTGGTGTGGAATGTTATACGATCAACTTATAGGGCCATTTATTATTGAAGGTCGTCTTAATGGACCAAAGTATCTACAATTTTTAGAGGAAGAACTCCCGCGATTGCTTGAAGATGTACCTCTGGCAAGACGATTAAGAATGTACTTGCAACATGATGGAGCTCCACCTCATATTTCCCGAATTGTCACTGCTCACCTAAATGAGCATTACCCTGGTCGCTGGATCGGTCGAGGTGGGCCACACATTTGGCCAGCTAGGTCTCCAGACCTCAATCCGTTAGATTACAACATGTGGGGTTGGATGAAGGATTTGGTTTATCAAGAGAAAGTGGAAACACGCGAAGCTCTAATCCAAAGAATTGTTAATGCTGCAACGCAAATAAAAGAAAAGCACGCGAATATTAGAAATGCAACGCGAGCAATTCACAGGCGTGCTGACAAATGTATTGAAGTAGGAGGTGGAATTTTCGAAAACCTTTTAAATTAAGAATGTATGTATCACTATTACCGATGTTCTAAAAATAAAAATGAAAATTAATTTCCATTATTTTATTTTCAAATTCGTGTAGCTCAATAAGTAAACCAAATCGGACACATGTTTATATGAACTTTTTTCCTAGAAATAACCCAAGGAACATCCTCCATTAGTGCCGGGAGAACTTCATGAAACACCCGGAATATGTTTAATTCAAAAGTCATAAGTAAACTTCTTCTCTTTATAACTTTTGATCTAATAAATATTTTTTGACGCTCGAGGGCTAGTTTGTAGGTCTTTTTAAGACGAAAAAAAGTACTCTACTGTTTTCTCGTGGAAATGAACGGAAAAAAGTGGTAAGCGAAAAACGTGATTTTACGTAAAAATTATACAGTTAACCAGACTATAAACAATCTTCCCCCCATTTTTATGACTGTGGAAACTAATATGTTATTGTACATAATATTTAGCATCTATAGTGATAAATTCAGCTTGCCGAAACAAAAAGTCGCGTCCAACTCTATATTTCCTGGCCTATACAGCTATGTTCGATTACTTGTGGTTCAGCTGCATAAACCGAATTTCCTGGAATTAAACAAAAATTGCACAATATGTGCCAAAATTGGTTTCATTGACATTATACTTTTTGTTTGGTACATTGTTTATAGAATGTTTACGAGATTGATAATGATCAACAAGCTTCTTTGATAACACGTCACTTAACGAGACTCATTCGATTGAGATACATATTCGCTTAGTATGCCACCAGTCGTCAAACCATCAGTGCGTATCTCGTTGAATTCGACCTTGACAACATTTATATTATAATCTTTTAATGAACTCAACCACCGAGATAAAAATGGATAACGCAGTTGTACCGAAAATATACGAGACAGTGAAGAAAGCTGTGAACGGAGACATAGAGAATTACGAAATCATTGTGCAAGGCTCCAACGAAAAGGGAGAGGGATACCTGGGCCAGATTTTCTTCCTCACCTTACGAGACAAAACTACCGGTAAGCAGCTGAATATTGTGGTGAAGCAGGCTTTTTCCGAGCAAGCTGTAAGAGAGATTGGTCCCATAAGGGACGTTTTCCTTAACGAGATTTACTTTTACACGAAAGTGTGGCCGAAACTCCAAAAATTCCAAGAAAGAATTCCCAAGGAGTATCGTTTTACCCACCTAGCAAATTGCCTGGCTACCATTTCCGAAGAGAATTTCGAAAGATTAGTACTGGAGAATCTGAAATGTCAAGGATTCGTGATGCACGACAAGAAACAGGTCGTGGAAAAGGAAAAGTTTGAGTTCATTTTCAAATTGTACGGAAAATTCCACGCAATGTCTTTCGCGTACAAAGCTTTGTACCCTGAGGAATTCTCTGAGCTAACCAGAGGATTTCGCGAAGTATTTGAAAAGTTTTTCGAGAAAGAGGTCACCGTGGATTTTCACAAATATGCTCATGAGCAGTGCTTAGAAAATCTAGAGCCAGGTGTGGACGACGCAATTATTGAAAAGTACAGGCATTACGTTGATGATGTAGTTAAGTTATTTATGGACAGTTTGGCCAACGGCAAATACACCGCTATTATCCACGGTGACTGCTGGAGTAACAACATGATGTTCAAATATGACGTAAGTTATCTTTACTACGTAAATTAGTTACTTTTGCAAATCACTGTTAAATTTAGGAATAGTTTATGCATTTAAAAATAATAATATAGCCCAGGAAAATAAGCTGGGAAATGACCATTTCGCGACTTTTTGTTTCGCCAAGCTGAATTTATCACTATAGATGCTAAATATTGTGTACAATAACATATTAGTTTCCACAGTCATAAAAATAGGGGGAAGATTGTTTACAGGCTGGTTAATTGTATATTTTTTACGTAAATTGACGTTTTTCGCTTATAACTTTTTTCCGTTCATTTCCACGAGAAAACAGTAAGGTACTTTTTTTCGTCTTCAAAAGACCTACAAAACTAGCGCACGAGCATAAAAAAATATTGATTAGATCAAAAGTTATAAACAGAAGAAGTTTATTTATTACTTTTGAATTAAACATTTATAAACTGCGTTATTATTACCAGAACGTTTTGGCATCGCATCCTCTCATTCCTTATCACTGTCTAATAACTCACACGAAATCTGGAATCGGTAAGTTGAATAGTTTACAAGTTATGGCCTTATAAACAAAT